ATTTTTATCTTCTAGTTGTATTTCAGATGCTTTATAAACAATTTGATTAATTTAAGTGATAGTAGTTTCTCCGCACATAAAAAATCATATTTATAAAATATTTTTGGCTTGAATCTAGAAACAAATGGGAAAAGTATGTAATAACAATTAAATAAAAAAATCTTAAAACATTACTAATTAATTTACTGAAAGTAGAAGATGAAGTTTGATCTTTTTATAATATACGTAGTATAAGAGAATATGATATACTCCCTTCGTCCCACAAAATTTTGTCAACATTCCTTATTTGCTCTCCCAAAAAGCATGACATTTCTGTTGACGAGGGAGTATTTGTGAATTTTTTGATAGTTTGGGATCATGCTAATAATTCAAAAGAAAACTACAAGAGTATATATCATTGAAAAACTATAAATTATATTTAAGTTTGTATAAAGAAATCGGATTATCTTTTCTTATTATACAGTTGTGATGTTTTTTTGCGTGTGGGGGTGTAGGTCCTAGGAACAGATGCAGGAGGGACAAAGGAGATCGTTGAACACAGAAAAACCGGTCTTCTCCATCCACTGGGTCGACTGGGAGCTGCTGTTCTTGCTTTAAATCTTCAGTATTTGCTGGAGAAGCCATGGGCTAGAGAGCAGTTAGGGAGGAGAGGGAGAGAGAAGGTCGAGAGTATGTACTTAAAGAAGCATATGTACCAAAAATTTGGAGAGGTTTTGTATGAATGTATGAGAGAATAACATAGCGCTTCTGCGCGGGGGCTACGTAGAGTGATATTCTCAAACTCTGTTAGTTGTTGGTGCCAATGTGCATGTCCTTTCGGATCCTTAATTTCATCGAGTCTGTGAGCCTTTGTGAATTGATTTTCCTACATTCCATCTTAAAATCCAAAGTAGGGAATTTACATAGAATTTGCATGGTATGTTAACGGCATACATTGATTTTGTATACTCTTTTATCAAAGACTCGCTATTTTTTGGATTAGAAATATAATGGAATAAAACAAAATGACTCACTGAACTGTCCGTGCTTATTTATTATGAAGCAACAGTCAGTCCATACAATTTTTGAAGTAATTTTCACTTTGGGTAATCCGGAAACATTCTCTCTGTGCTTTAGTACAGGGCAACAGGGGTAAGATTAGTCATGGATTTGGGTCGGGCCAACCGGCCCGGTACTCGATTATAGGACCAGTTTGGGCCACCTGAACCCGGAATTAATCGGGTTGGGCTCGGGCCTCCTAGAAGCGGAATAGGCTTGGCCTTTTTTTTTTTTTTTTTTTGGTTTTTTCAATTTTTTGGTTTCTCCCGGGTTGGTCTGGGTGTTGGGGGGATGGGGGGTTTGAGGGGTGGGGGTGAGGGGGGGGGGGGGGGGGTTAATTAGAAAAGCAAAAGAAATTAAAAAAAAAACATGAACCGGACCGGAACCACTGCCTACCCGGGCCAGTTCCGGTTATTCCTTCCCCAAAACAAGCTGGCCCCGGCCCGACCCGGGTCCATGACTAGGTAAGATTGCGTACATTTGACCCCCCACCCCTCCGTAGCTGGGAGCTTTTGCGGCATTGGGGTAATGAAGAAGTTTACCAAGAGTCCAAGAGGCCCCATAAAGCCATAAGTTCCTGGCCATAGCAAAGAGCCAAAGACAAGTAAAGAACAAGCAGTTTTTAATTTACTCCGTATATTTTTGTGATGTCCTAGCCCAAAGATATATAGCCCCAACTTTACAGGATAATATAGCCCCATCGTCTCATACTCTCATTACTATTCCACCGGCACAATAAACCACCTGTGCCTGGAGTAGAATTGGGTATCAATACTAGTGAGCATTGGTCCTCATAAAATTTTCACCACACCTATACGGCTACAACTTTACCCAGCAATCTCTTTATCAATCATTTTATTTATATTTGTACAAATTATTAACTTCTTGCTCTCCGGACAATCATAGTTCGATGACATCACTGTGACACTCTCAAAGAAGAGATTTAATAGGACATATACTATAATATGTTAGAAAGTACAATTAAAAAAAATCTTACTCTGCATTTTTTATGATACTTCATTTGGGCCTTTGGGGTAGGGTTTGAGGAAAACCCTACCTATTTATTTGTTAATAATTAATAAAAAAATAAGTACAGGGTAGGAGGAAACAAAGTCAATGCTACAAAGTGTGAAATGCAGAGGGCTATTCGTAATGGATACATTCTTATGAGCTACATACTCAACTGCCCTATTACAATTAGTATTAATGGTGCTAAAACGTCAATGGAAGATCCCAGTCCCAGAGTAGCAACTGGCTTACTGGCCTGGCAGACTCCTCAGATGCCACCTCTTAAACAACTAGGCACTGGCGGATTACTAACCTTTGATGGCAATCCCTCCATTCCATGGATAGATGACGGCCGTGGCACCTTGTTATAACATTTGGCCAAGAAATTCCTTTTGGGACAAAACTTGGTTAAGGTAAAAGAATAACACTACGTATTCAGAGCCGATTAACCGTCTCACTTAAAAAAAAAACTGATTAACCGTCTCACCTAAAAAATAACAGTTCATTATGTTTAGGCATACACACACACACACCACATTTATAAAATTTGAGGTGATCAAAATTCTTAGTATATATACTTTCAAAGTTGTTTGAGCGGGTTTTGATGGACGTTAACCATCCAACTCTTCAAGAGTTTATAAGCAAAAATAAATGTGTAAGATCATCATTATGAGATATGTATTTCAAAACCATCCTAAGGACCCACTTTAACTTGGGAGGATATTATTATATATTTAATTTGACACGGTAAAAAGTAAAGTAATTAAAACAGCCCGTGAAATACAACTTTTGGATCGAAAATTCAAAATATACTTCAGGGCATAAAGAGATGACCTCCCACATGAGTGAGGGCCATCCCACAAAACTATGCACTCAAGATTGACAAAGGGAGCTACACAACATAGGTTGAGGTGTAGAGGTGGGCTGAGGGGATGTTTGAGTGAGAAGGAAACATGAGGTGGACCTCTCTCTCACTTTCATTTGCAAGAAAGACAAAAAGAGTCTCCTCAACTCACTCCTTCCTCTCATTTCAGCCAAAGAATCTAACAAGGAGAAAAGAGATCTGCAACCACCATCTCCCAAGCTAAAAACTTGATCTCAAGCAAGGGGAGGTCCAAGGAAGAAGATTAAGTGGAAAAAAGTGAGGAAAAGCTTGAGAAATTAAGGTAATGATCTCATTAACGTTTTCTTTTCCTCCATAAATCGCATGTGGTTTAGTAAATCATATGATAAACCCATAGGTTTGTTCTATATGAGTAGAGGTAATGAGGGATGAAAGGATAGCTTATATCCAAGAACGGATATAGAAGCAAAAAGAGACTGATTCGCCGGAAAGTAGCCTTTTGAGGGTTATTTTTATTAATATGGGTTTTGGGGTCATAAAACCTTGTTAGGGACTCGTCTAACGTGTTCCTAGTGTTCTTACGGAGTTGAGGAGTCGCCGGAGTTTCGCCGGAGGCAAACTGGAGAGAGTAGATCATAAAGCTCACTTAAGGTGAGATGACGGCTTAAAGTTTTATAACTCTTGGGGTTAAATATGAGAATACATAAAGTAATACTATATGTGTTTATAATAATTTTTAAAATTGTTTAAGCATGTGCTTATCTAAGGTGATTAAGAGTATGTGGATTAAACTAGAGTATTTTGCATGAAAGAAGCTGAATATGTATATAAAATCATTGGTGATGTTTTGACTGACCACAAAGGTATATATTGCTTGTTTACAACTTAAAATGTGCACGTACACATTGAATCTCATCTATGCGCGAGAGCCCTCATGTGATATAGAGAGCGACACGTGTCATTTCTTAACCGACTCTTGAGTAGATGTCTCATGTTGGATGAGGTGACGTAGGCCTAGGGGCGTGTGGCCCTCATTCTTAGTGTTTCCTTTGTATTTGAGTGATTATGTCTCGGATGTTTGTCTTGTCTGAATGAGGTGTCACTAGCCAAGGTGACTGCTAGTACGGACAACGGTCTTGACCCGAGTAACTTTGGTTGACATCAATTGCTCTTTTTCTGTGTGTTCCCTCATCTGGACGAAGGGGCCAGATGAGGGGTGTAGTTTAGAAGGACACATGGCGCTGTGTATCTAAGAGTATGTGGGCCATGGTCCTGAGTCCATACACTCTATCATTGACTTGTTTGTAAATTCAAATTAGTGCTTATTGACTATATATATTTCGAGATACACGAGTGTATATGAGATAAACTTTAAATTTATTTCTAACTATCTTGATAATGTGGAATGCATCAATGCCATGAATGAGCAGGGGATAATATATATATATATATATATATATCCTAAAATCTTATAATTTTGAATATTTAACCCTTAATTTTTAATATTAATTATTAAGGGGAACCAATCTCTTTGTGTTTTAGTACGAAGAGGGAAAATGTCGGACCCAAACGCCACAAAAGGACATCGCCATAAAATCAGCCTAGGAAAACACTAGGAGACGCCGCCTTTTCTCACCCCTCTTTCTCGAAGAGTTCGGAGCTTGAAGAAAGATACTTGTAAAGTAAGATAAAAACTATATGTGTTTGTATATATATACTTAAATTTTATTATTATTTAATATTTATAACATAATGTAGTTAATTGATTAGTTATTATATATTATTTCATGTGACAATTCAATCATTCATGCATGTTAATGTGTGTATATATTTTTCATACATACACAAACATGATACTACCATTTTATTATGTATTACTTATCATATTTATGCAAAAATATTAATAAAAATACAATTTATGTGCCTCCAAATTCCAATTAGTCCCCGCCTAGGCGCTCGCCTAGGCGCTGGGCTGGCGCCCAACTAGCGCCTTTTAGAACCTTGATAAATTTACCTTTATCAAAATACTCAACTATCTTTACTTTTTCTATTGTTTATCTACTCTGTCATACTTTTACACACTCTTTCATACTTTTTATACACTATTCATTACACCTACTACTTTACTCCTTAAATAATGTGTCAAACCTAATGTAGTGAACATAAAAATACGGAGTATTAAGTTCATATCCGGATAGAACCCGGGTCTTAACACATTGCTCATGAGTCTAATACATTTAAGGGCATAGGAACAAGTAGTTTGACTATAGATATAATAATCACAAATAAGTGAAAAAGTATACATGTTTTATGATATGAATAGTAATAATAAAAGAAAGCATGTTATATTCGGCCAAATAAATGTGGCTGCTGCTACCTTCTTCATGGATTTTGGAAATGGAAGATGTGGATGGAGAGAGCAAAGACAAGTGCAAAGAGGAGCACAAAAGAAGAGAGAATAGCAGCAGAATGTGGTACAAGTTGGCGTCGGAAACCAAAATAAATACGCAAGAAGGTCTCCACCGTGTCAGATGTCTCTAACACGTCCCCAATGTCTCCAAACTGTGACCCCACCAGTCCGTACAATGTCCAAGCAATTGGTGAAAACAGGTAACACCATCTCCACCACACTGGAGCAAGCTGCACGCATGCATGCCATGAAACTAGCTGGTTATGATTGGAAACAAAGATATCAATCAACAAACAGAAAAACTCCGAGGCAGGGCCGGAGTCTAAATTTTAATTAAGGAAAATAATGCTCCGTACTATGTAATTTTTTTCAGCCCACTAGCATAGATCCAGCCGGCCTTTGGATCGAACACTATATATCGTTATCGTGTACGTGTGTGTGCAGGGGCAGAACTAGAGGAGCGAGCCGGTCGCAGTTGAGCCTGTGTTGGAATCGGCGACTACTGTTGTTGCTTTTTTGTTTCCTCTTTGATCTATACGGTGGCGTTTGGTTAAGCATTAAAAAACAGGAACGACGTCGCAGAGTTTATTACGTAGTAGTTATCAATTTATCATTATCAAAATCACTTGTCATTTCCAAATTGAGTTTTTTACCTATATATTACCAATTGTATGTAAGTTTACAAAAATGTGACTCCCTCTTCACTAACTACAATAGGTACGACAGTTTTTTAGTAATTAAAACAGTTAGTGCACTCTCTTTAGTAACTGGTGGTCATATATTTGTTAATAAGGTTTAAAGTAGTAATATATTTGTAATTTATTCTTCCAGAATTTGTGTCTAAGGTCGCTGATTCTGGAAACCGGGTGAGCCGGTGAGATTTGAGGAAAGGCTAATATGCATTCTATTTATTTGTTCAACTTCCTAAGAGCATCTCCAATGGTTCCTTCCAAGAACTTGCTTGCAATTTTTTAAAATACTCAAGCTAGTAACCTACCATTGGAGTGCATATTACCTTCTAGCTTGGAATAGCAAATTAGCCAAAACAAGCTAAATGCTAGAAAGGAGAGAAAATTGAACTAAAATGGTAACTCCCAAATATATTTAATTTTTTTATAATTAATATACAAATCTAATTAAACAACAATGATAATATTCAAACTTGTTTCAATATTATTATGTTAATTAAAAAATTGCAACGGTAATGTTCTGGTTTCAATCCTATTACAATTAATTATAATAAATAGATAAAGGTTTTGAAATTTAGGTAAACAATAAATTTGAAAATTTAGGTATACAGATAATGTTCTTGTCAACTTGATCGATTTGAAAATAAATATTATTTTTACTATATTACCAATAAATTTCATTCAAAATGTATATTTTAATATTGATTAATTTGTGGGGCCTATTCAAGATGCAAGGATTGTAGCTAACCATTGGACTACCACATCGCTGGAAAATGGATTAGCTAGAAAAAATTGACATGGCAAGCAAAACTACAATGTGTTTCGCTGACCGCTGGAGATGCTCTAATTCCTACTCGTATTATTTTATTATTTTCAAGTATTTGGATTTTGAGTTGCGATTAAGGTTGAGTTAGAAGCTGTTCTCTTCGCCTGATCTGAATGTTTCTGATCCGAATTTTTTAAGTTCTGATCTGATCTGAATCTTTCTGATCTGATCTGATCTGAATCTTTCTGATCTGATCTGAATGTTTCTGATCTGGTCTGATCTGATCTGAATGTTTCTGATCTGATCTGAATCCTTCTGATCTGATCTGAATCTTTCTAATCTGATCAGATTTGAATATTTCTATAATTATTATTATAATTATAATTATTGTAATTATTACAATTATAATTACAATTATAATTGTAATTATAATTACAATTATAATTGTAATTATAATTACAACATTTATCTCTATAATTGTAACTATAGTTATCAATATTATTATAATTACTCCGTAAAATAATTACAATAGTAATAATAATATTATTATTAATAATTATAATAAAAATAATAATTATAATCATAAATTATAATTATAATATAATTATAAGTATAATTATAACTGTTATAATTATAATTAATAATAATTATAATTATATTAACAGTAATTATAGTATTATAATATAATAATAGTAATATAAATACAATTAAAATTATTATAAAGATATTATTATATTAATATTATCATTACAATAATATTATAATAATATGATTATTATTATTATAAGTTTTCCGTATTATATTATTATAATATTATATTATAATCATATTTATAAACATAATTGTATTTATGATTGTAATTATAATTATAATTATTATTATAATTATAATTAATTATAATTATAATTAATTATACTTATTATTATAATAATTAAAATTGATTATACTTATAATTATAAGAATTATAATTATAATTATAAGAATTATAATTATAATTATAATATAATATTATAATAATATTAATCATATTATTATTATAATAGTGTAATAATAATAATAATAATAACAATAATAATAATAATAATAATAATAATAATAATAATAATAATAATAATAATAATAATAATAATAATAATAATAATAATAATAATAATAATAATAATAATAATAATAATAATAATAATAATAATAATAATAAAAATAAAAGTGAAAACTTTTCTGATCTGATCTGATCTGAATGTTTCTGATCTGGTCCGATCTGATCTGAATCTTTCTGATCTGATCTGATCTGAATCTTTCTGGTCTGATCTGATCTTATCTGAATCTTTCTGATCTGATCTGATCTGATCTGAATAAAATAAGAATAAGCAATAAGTAATAAGAATAAGACGAACAGAACAGCACCTAAGAATAAGCAATAAGAATAAGACGAACAGAACAGCACCTTATTTAGGGTTGCGTTTCAGCCTTCGGACTTTGCCGCTTAGACCATTGAGAATTGCTGAATTGAGATTTAAGACAACGGGTAGTAATGCTTTGTTTTGTATTTATTTAGTTTAGATTGCAATCAATTTACGCCAAAACTTTTGTCCTTTCAATTATTTACATTTCAGATTTTAAAGTTTCACCTTTAACTAATTGATTATGGACGTTGTATTTAAGTATTGTGCATCATATGAAATAGAAATGCGTATTATCTATCTTAGAAAATATGTATTTAAGTTGTATACCCATTCCGTCCCATTTTACTTGTCCTATTTTCCTTTTTGGGCTATCCCAAAATAAGTGTTTTCTTTCCCTTTTTAGAAAAAAATATGTGGCCGACACCATTTCACTATATTATACTCAAACCTCAACACAACTTTTATTTTTTCAACCATTTCATTAATAACCGTATCAAGTCAAGCTAAGACATATAAAATGGGACAGAGGTAGTATTATTTTAACCATAAATGCACATATTTGAATTTTGTCTTATTTTAACTATAAATGTGCATCTTGTGAATCATAATGTGTATCATTTTGGATTATTCACTTTTCACGGGAATAAGTGTTTTCACGAGAGCCTAGTTATTTATATTATGCTATCATATTTTTTGTGTAAATAAGTTAAGTAAACAAAAATCTACAAATTTATTGTATATTGCATAATACTACTTCCGTTCTCTTTTAATTGCAACATCGGACTTTTTGCACTTTTCACAAAATCTTATTTTGACTATTCTTTATCCATTAATGTATTACAGAGTATAAATTAAATTCTAAAAAAGTATAGTTAAATTTTCATAATCTAATTTTTTTTACTGATAAGGAATAAAAAATATTAATGCTCAAACTTGTGCGTTAACAAACGTGAAAAATTGATTGTTGCAATTAAAAGAGATAGGAGGAAGTATGAGAGTAGTGGGTATTATTTATGCTTTTATAATTTTATTCGGCGTATTTGTTAGTACAAGTGTAGAACTCAAAGGGAAGAATATTTTGTGTACACATGACCAATTAATCTGGTCAAATACCCTCGTTTACGCAACCTCGGATCAGTATTTCCTGATGAATTTCTTAGCCGCCGCCCTCAAATATTCTTCTGGTTCGCCATACAGTGTGTGTATGGGGAAGAAAGCAATTGGAAAGAAAGAGAAAAAAGGATAGATGAAGTAAAAGGGCGGGGTAGTAGATCGAGGATTGCTTACTGGTCGTGGAATCAAGAATCCGGAGAAGAGGTTCCATATTCCAAAGCATGCAATGGAGAAGATGGATGCGGTGTCCAGATTCGGAGTCATGGCCACTGACATCATGCCCAAGAAATCGGAGTACAAGAACGTTAAGAACATGATGAGAAGGTACCACCAAAACTTCCCGCCCCTCCACTCAAATCCGATCATAGAATAGACTATGCCACTGTAGATTATTGCTTGCCCCAAAACATATGGGACCTCCCCAACAATCTGCATCCATACATGCATTACATGTAAGAGTGTTTATAGATAGATGCAAAGCATTAATCTGCTTCTCTGTTTTAATTTTTACTTTCTTATTGGCTGGTTACCAAAATCTTTTGGGAATAAGACTTATTGTTATTCTATTGGCTGTTTACCTATTCCTTTTCCTTTCACCCGTTTTTTCTCATTCCAAAAAATACTTACCCAACCGGCCAACCCAGTATTATGTTTGTACGTGTATATAAGTTGTAACAGTCCCGCCTGAGGCAGCCACCTGATGGACTGACTGGATCCATCAGTAACATAATGGCTGCTGCAGATTATTCCCAAGTGAAAGGTAACTGTTTACCATTGCAAAGGAAAAAGGCATGGCCGAATACATCCCTGCAGCTCTTTCTCTGTAAAATACTCTCCGCTCCAATACAACTACTTGTTGAACGGTGAATGCGTGTAAAGCCCCTGTAAAGAGAACTGATGTATACATGAAACCCATTGCATTGAACAAGTCTTGTGCCTTGCTCCTGCAATCAAGATGTTCAAAAAAGAAGTGGCATGGAAATGTCAAACTAGGTTGGTTATGAGCTTATAAAAGCATCTCTTTTGGCCCCACGACTATAAGTTCATACCACTTTTCGTTACTGACTTTTTACAGCAAGTTTTAGTGCATGACTATGGATTTGTTACCCATTTTCATCTTTCCATTAATCTTCACCAGATAAGTGACCAGAGGTTGTGCACCAAAAAGACGAAATAAAACAAAGTCAGGGGGACCAGAAATGGGAATAGTTTAAAAGTTGTAGGACCAAACGTGATATACATACACTCTTACAAACTAGGGAAAAAGTTGAAGGTTGAATATGTACCTCTTAAAACCAAGACCCCAAAACATTGTTCCAAAGACCAGTGCAGTAACAATAGTGCAAAGGACCCTAAGTGCAGCGTAGGACATGTTATGCGAGTAGGACCATTGTTGCTTGCGTAGGCATGCTTGGAATTGTGTCAAGAATGGTTGTGGATATTTGGTTTGAAATTTTAGATCCCTTGAGCCTGGAGAAGGTGTGCTCAGTTGTTTCACCAATGCCTTGTTTCTCCTGCAAAATCTCACATAATAAGTATTACTCCTGGGGTTTTCGAATCTTCCTGTTTAGACTGGGAATGGATTTCAGGCCTGTCTTATATAGGCGTGCTGGCTACGAAACCAACTTGGACAACAAAATTTTCTATATTTTTAAGGCTTCAAATTTTTTAGGTCCAATGTTTTTTGTAGGCTCACTTTTTTTTTAGAAAAGCTGATTTCATTGAAAAACTGAAGGGTACAAAGCGGAAATGAAAAAACAGTACAGAAAAGAAAAATACAAAAGAACATAAAGGGAAATAAAATAAATAATGTTAGTACCCAATTTTGATAGATTTTGATGATGTCACTATACTAAGGTCCTGTATGATTCGTGCTCCTACTCTTTGTTACAATGTCAAGAAGTTGATTGATGTACTAAAAAGAAAAGAGTACACCATCAACTACTCAGAATTGACAAATTAAATAATGTACAATTTTTGTACCAAATAAATTTTACTGGAAATTTAAAATGCAATAAGGTAAAATTCATTTACCTTAAAGGATCTATAAATCCAACCAGTATAACTTTATTTGATATAGAAATTAAAAGTACACTATAAACTTGTAAAATTGTGACAAATTAAAATGTACACTTTTTGTACCAAGTAAATCGCACTGGAGATTAAAATGCAATAAGATAATTTTCTTTTACCTTAAAAGGATACTTAAATCCTACCAGTACAAATTTATTTAATACAAAAAGGCTGAAGTCACAAATTTACTAGATCCTAATCAAAACAGAACACGGCATACATTATTCACGTATGCCATATACACTGCATGTGTATACTTGAAGACAAAAAGAGCATTTAAGGCTCAATAGTACATGGGCCTAAGAGTATGGGACGCACACACCAAATCATGAAGATTGATTCTTGAATTGATCTTTCAGCGGCTAATAAGTGAAGACAAAGAGATCAACAATATCTGCTCCAGCACAAGAAGACGTATTTCAACACGTTCAAGAAAATTTCATCTCAACCAACGGATGAAATTAAACAACAGGAAAGGCCTATAAATAAAGGCAGAAGCATGAGTTCTAAAACCAAGTTTTTGAGTCTTCTGAATAGAGAAATCTTCCTGAGCATCTAAGAGATATCTAGCAAAAGAGAAAGTGTTTGTCCAGCTTTACTCTCTGCTCAGACTCATGCTTCACTAAACTTCCAAGTTAGAACTTTTCTTTGCTATATTCTAGAAGTTCAGTTCATAGTTGGAGGCCAGAATTTTTGTTATATCATAAATTGTTGTAAGCACTTAAAAGGACATAGTTATACTGTCCTAAGTGTGGATAGATAGAATAGAGTACCTTTTGATCCCCACTGGATCAATTGAGAAAATCTAAAGGATTGAGTAGCCTGGAGTGGTGTGTACTCCTTGTGAAACACCTTCAATCTAGGCCTGTTGTGTGTAAAAGGCTAGATTAGGCACTAAGTGTATTGAGTTTAATACTTTAGCGAAAATCCATCTGAAAGAGGGTGGGACTCGACGTAGGAGGATTACACCACCTCTGAACCAGGATAAATCGTGTGTTGATTTATTTTCAGTAATCAAAGCACACACAAACCGCTTCTTAAACCAAGCAGTTGCTTTAGCAGTCACCTCAGCAGTAGTCTACTGCTCACTCCACTGCCAAGCCTACTGCCTGTTTACTCACCTTCCTAAAGACATCTCCATATCACTAAAGCCTTATAAAATCTTCCAAAACTTCCCGGATCAATCAGAATCTAGAAAATCATCTCTTTACTCCGCAGTAGCCTCAGCAGTACTCTAGTGACTACTCTACTACACAGACTACTGCTTACACAACTGCCAAGACAACTGCTCTTCTAGATAAGCTTAATTCTCATCCAAACTCCTTCATCCATTTCTAAATAGAAAGTTATCATACACTGTCCATTTAGAAGTTAAGACTTCCGCTGTGCATCTTTAATCTTTCAAAAGGTTACTGATCATCATATCTAGTAGGGAAAGTTTTTAAAGTTGAAATAGCTGTAAAAGTCTATTCACCCCCCTCCCCCTAGACTTTTACCTCTATCCGGGACCATCAAATAACTAGACCCATGGGAATTGTTTAGACTGAGACCTTGTTCTCATACTGTGGCGCCTTTTGTTCTTCTGGGATTTCTTGTATGTTTTGAATTTGGAGTCCGTTATTTCTTCTTGTTCTGAAATAGGTGGTCGACGGTCGCTTTCAGTTGTGTGTCCCAGAAAGTCAGTCGTCTGAAAAGTATGAGTCGTCTGATGGATCAAAGTTGTCTGAGGCATCTGAGTAGGCTTGTAAAAGTGGTATGACGGGTTGTTTTTCTGAAGAGAGGACCTTTTGTTTCTCGTCATAAGCTCTTTGAACTTCAAAATTGAATATGAGTTTGGAAATGGAAGTCACTTGCTCAGTGTCGGTCAAAGTCTCGTGCGTTGAATGCATTGGTTGCTCCGGCTCTGAATGAGGTATTCCAACAAAATTAGATAGCAATGCAAGAAATTTTAACAGACTAGATTTTTGTGGACCCATAGGAATAATGATAGAGCTTCCATTTTCCTTAGCAATTATCAAATAGCAGCCTGATTTGTTATATAGTGAAGAAACCTTGATTGGACCAAATTTTCTCCGCTGCCAAAAAAATGAGTGGTAAGTACTGGTGAATTGGGTGATAAACCCGATGATTGGAGGTACTAGCTCGAGGTCGAAGTTAATCTTGTTGAGTACAGATTTTTTTATTTCAAATATGACCAATTCATTGTTTCTGATTGCCAGCTTGGAGATTTTAGAGTTGATCTGAATTGAGTCATATCCCGGTTCTCCGTAAAAATAGAACTTTTCTGAGTCCTTGAACAAAGGATCTGATTCGGGCTGAATTCCTCCTGCCGTATCCAAAGAGGTACTCTCCTCTACCGTAATTAATTGTTTGTCGTGGGAGGAAAATTCCAATTCCTCGTTCATTATGGAACTAGTGGGTATGAATTTTACTATTGACAGATCCTTGGGAGTAGTGGCTAAGAGAGGAACAGCCGGGTGGTATCCGTCCTTGTTAGATTTAAATAAGTCAGTCCATGTGGAGCAGCTGTCCTGCGACCCCAGGACAGCAAGTAGAAATCCAGGAGCTGTCTTCTCCGTCAAAACTGCCGGAAACGACCTAGTTAATTTTCCGGCTTCTTTTCTGACGCTCGCTCCATCAATCTGTATATCGACGATGGCCTTGTCAGCCACAGATCCCAGTGCTGAAATGGTAGGGGTCTCCACCTTGGAGACTTCCGCCCTGCGATTTGAAGGCTTGCCGTATCTTGGACCCACGAATTTGGGCGACGGCTTCCCGTAGCGTCGATCTCGTTGGTCGCCTGTGATACTACTCCCATATCTGATGTTTTCCTTTATAACTTCCCGGGTATGGTTTGGGTTTGGGGGGTTATATGATTGCAAATTGAATTGAAGTGAAATTGGGTTTCCATCTGCTAATTCTAAGCATTGGTAACGATTAGAGTTACCAGATAACCAAATTTTCTCTGGGAGGATTCGATGGTGGGTCGAGGGTCGTTGGTTGGGGTGTTTTGGGTGGCGCCGTCCCCTGTACTTGGCTGTGCGCCAAGCATCTTCCGATTCTCCGGATTGATGTTTGAGGGATGTGTGTGGATGGTAAGTTCGTACCTGGGGGATTTGATGAGGTTCATGTCGCCGTTCCGGTTGTTTTGGTCCCGATTTGAAGAATCTTCCCTCCTGTGGATAACAAGCTGAGGGACTGAATGATTGTTGAGCGTAGTACCTGAGAGGAGGTGTAGGGTACCTATTCCGGCGAGTTGGGTACATCCTAGCACTACGGCAGTGATGATTTTCGAAGCCTCTACCTGCCTATGGACGTTAACTCTCCGTTCCTTGTGAAACTCCTTTCTAGAGGCCTGGATTGTGAGTGTGTATACCATAGAAGGTGGTAGTGACTGTCTCTGTTCCCGTCATTGTAGCAAGGAGAGTGCCGTCTTGTATTGTACTGGTTTTCCTTTCTAGGGGCCTGGATTGTGAGTGCGTATACCATAGAAGGTGGCAGTGACTGTCTCTGTTCCCGTCGTTGTAGCGAGGAGAGTGCCGTCTTGTATTGTACTGGTTTTCACTGAGCAGGTGGTGGTAGTTCCGCCAGTGTTCACTGTTCAGGGTGGCGGGATTCCATAAATGAGCATAAACGAGCTCAATTGTAAGCTGTTTTTTAGAGAGAAGAAGGAGATTCTCTCTCTTCATTTTTCTTCGACTTTGTAGGCTCACTTTAAATGAATATATTAGGCATTTTAGCTCATTCTATAATACATTATTTTACTTTGGGCTTTTATAATCTGTTTGATCATTGGTGGATTATTTATATATTCAAATTATTTAGGTCCAATTGGATATTTATTTGGAGGTCCATTGCGACAAAAATTTAAGGGTCCATCTGGAACTGAGCTCGTCTCGGGGCTTGAAAAACACTGTGACAATGCGTGCTAACAGAGTTGAAGGGTCCATCTGGAAGACTGGAACTCATAAAATGATGGGAAGGATTTTGACCAGTCAAAAATTGTAGCCTAATGCATGGACATTATTGACATTTCACACAAAAAAGGTTACCGGTAAAAGGAACAATAAGACTGTTTTGGAACGAATTAAAAAGTACAATTAGAAGACTATTAGGGGATGGAGGAAGTAATAAAACCCAACCCTTTTATCCATAAATGTAACAGTGGTAGTTGAGGTGTAAAAGTGAGACACTTCTCTTGCTTGTAATGTAAGTAATCACATGCATGTAATGTAAGTTTACAACATGACATGAATCGAAATAATGTAAGTTTACAAACGAAAAATATTCGATACCATTAAACTGTTATCAAACTGTGTTCGGAGTTGTATATTGCAACTTACCGACATAGTTCTGAGTTGTTGTAGATCTCGTTGAAATTAATCCCCAGATCTTCTTCGTTTTCACGTTTTGTGATTTCCAGCACCCACATTGCTGGATTATGACCAGTTCTAATTTTTCTTATTCCGTGAATACTCTACAAGAAAGTACAAAATAAAGTACTCAATAATGATATCATGCCTGACCATGTAAGAACAGAAAAGTATCTCCAAACTTTGGCACGTGTTGTGAACCTCTTCTGGTTCAATACAGCAACAACCAAGACTTAATCCAAAAAGAGTTTGTGGTCGGCTAACATGAATCGAAATATTATATCGGAGTTAAAAAACAATAAATAGAGAAAAATCACTTCTGGTTCAATAAAATGAAAAAAAAATGGAAGGAAACCTACCTCAAAATAAGTTATTAAATGGAAAGAGCGATCGCCTATTGGGCCAAAGTAAACTTCTTGCCCTCCTTGAATCAGTAGAAGTAACTGCAATAACCAATAACTAAAATTATACCGAGTAACATATAATGAATCAGGAAATAAATGTACTAGAATAATACTACATATATTGAATCTGATAAAAAAATGTTGGGCTATCCTGTGTTGATTCTTTACTAAGGTTGATTCGAGTATGTAAATATGAGATAAACACCACAGTTATGGATGTTATTGGAGTGAATTAATCCCAATTTTAACATGGTAGTAGAGTGTATAGTCTGGTCCGAAGGTGGTTAGTGGGGAGCCACCCATCCTATGGTTTGGGATAACCTATTTTGGAGGTCGGTATGGACCCATTTGTCAATCCTTCATGTCCAATCTTGTTTAGGATGGGGAGAGTGTGTTGACTATTGAGTATCCCCCCACATTGGTTCTCTAAGTGAGGTAAACCCTAACACTTGAAGTTCCTTTTGAGGTGTAAATTAGATCCAATTTAACAAAAGGGAAGTAACTGAGAATTCATTAACCTCATCAAAAGCTTCAAAGATGTCAATACTTGGCTGGTGGATAGTGCAGACAATTGTTCTACCAGTGTCAGCAATGTTCCTAATTGTCCTCATGATGATTGCAGCAGCGGTTGAATCAAGGCCCGTGGTTGGCTCATCCATGAAGAGTATAGAAGGATTAGCCACCAATTCCACTGCAATGGTCAGCCTTTTCCTTTGTCCGGTTGATAGGCCATTCACGCCAGGTAACCCAACTACTGCTTTCCTCAAAGAGGTAAGTTCAACCAATTCCAGGACCTCCTCAATGAACATCTTTTAGCATTCACCGTCAAAATAAATAAAAAAGATAAAATTTAGTTCCCAAACACTAACGTATTTGATTATGATTGTTGAATTGGTCCATGAAAAAAGCAGTTCAGAAGTTACTTTTTCGGCTAAAACAGATGAAAAGGAAATAAGACTTTATATCAGTCAATTCATCTATTTCAACTGAATTTACCCTTTCAAAAATGGGCTCAGGGTTGTACGCCCATGAACAAACACCATTATTGGATAAGGTGTATGAAAAAAGTTTTTACAAAAGAAATGCTAACAAAATCTTAAGTGACCTGACAAAAAAAAGTAAGCTAATGCAAATTTGGGCTTCAATTCAGATCTGTATACTGTGGAAGTGTGGAGTATAAGGGACAAGGTCGTGTGTTCAACATTACATGGGTCCAGTCTACTACTAGACCTTGCTGGTTCAGAAGACGAGAGGAGAGCAGAAAAGAAGAGTTAAAAAAGATGTTATCTTTGGTCGAATGGAGTGATGACTGATGAATTACTTTTCTAGAAAGGTCTATGAAAATAATGTACCAATATATGTAGATTTTGTAGTAATTAAATATAGTACTACGTAATATATGTATAACAACAATAATGTATACTGACTTTGATGTTTAAAAAGGTTCATTTCATCATTCATTTTCATTTACCCCAGTGCCGCAAAGGCTCCCACCTATGGTGGGGTAAGGGAGGGTCGGATGTACGCAGTCTTACCTCTGTACTAAAGCACAGAGAGACTGATTCCGGATGACCCATAGTGAAAATCGTGTCCAAAATAGCATGGACTGACTGCTGCTTCATAACAAAGAAGCGCAGACAATTTAAGCCATTTTGCTTTATTCCATCATATTCTCAAGCCAAAAAATAATGAATCTTTGGCTTCATTGCAAATGATGGAAAGATGTTTAAAAAGTTTGACAAGAAAAAATTAAACTACAGCGAAAGAGCCCTAAACTGGGGAAGTGAGATGAGCATATTGGACCCCCATCCCCAACCATAGCATTCAACACATTTCATGAAAACTTCCACCCCTTCCCTCCAAAGTTCTCCAACCAAACAAGGGCAAGGTCAGATTTTTGTGTGTGCACAACTTACCATTCTAGTTTCTGAATTGACTTGTGATGTTAAGCGGAGCCAAGCTGAAAAAATCAAGGATTCATATACTGTAAGGTGAGGAGAGTGGATGTCATTTTGCTCACAGTATCCAGAAATGCGGGCAAATGTTTTCTGCTTCTTTGGAAAGCCAGAAATGCTGATGTCCCCTTCAATATATCCACATGTTTTCCTCCCACATAGAACATCCATAAGTGTGGTTTTACCTGCACCGCTAATCCCCATAAGAGCTGTCAGAATACCTGGCCTAAAGGCCCCACTCACACCTTTCAAAAGCTCAAGACGTTCGTCTGTGACACCCTGATCCTTCATCTCCTGCACATTCACTCTATTATGACACACAACTGCTCAGCTTCAGCATCACTAGCTACTTAACATTACAAGTTTGTGTCCTGCTCGTTCTATGAATAAAGTGCAATTTGTTAAGTTCACCTACTTTTATACCCTTTTTTGGTTCAACAAAAACATATCATAAATCATTTCTCACCAGCGGGTGTGTTAGTGGTTTTGTCTGTTAGCGATATAGATTTTTTTAGGACAACCAGCAATTTTTTAGCTAAAAATCTTGGACAGAGTTGAGTAATAAATATTTCAATTCAAGGACAATTTTTTTAGTGATTTTTTCACTTTATCCTTAAAAGGAAGTATTCAAACACTATCCTTAAAAGCTAGCTAGTTAACAAAGTGTCTTGATGGTGTTGGCAATGCAATGGATCTAGGAGGCCGGGCAGTTTCTCCGATCTTAATTATATTCCGGCATGGCGGAGAGGGTTGACGGATCAATTTTGGTGTAGTATCGTAGCGCTTGTACCGGAGGTCAATCTAAACTTCTTGAATTTGATTTTCTATTGGCCTCCCCTAAAACCTTTAGGATGCATGCAGCACGCTTTAAGTTGGTTAAAGGTTGTGAAGATGGAGATAGATGGTCGGTCCCAAAAAAAAATTGGTTCGTGTACTTTTCTATTTTTATATTCAATAAATGGATAAACAAGTAAAGCAATCATGACCGTATGCATACTCATTCTAGCATTTGGTTAGTTTTTGTTTTCTTGATGGAAAAGTGTAATTTTTAATTTATTTTTAATATGTAAAAAACAGTTTGCATTGACGGTTCTATGTTGATTCTGGAAAATGTCTGTTTAAACTTAAAAGGAAAAATTACAACATTTGTTTTTGGTTTGTGTACCTAATCAGACCAAATTAGTCTTGAAAAATCATGATTTATATTTTTTTCATTACATTACTACTCACCTATTAGGCCCGCATTAATGTATGGCGTAGACTACTATAGAGTGTTGGGCGGTGAAACAGTGTCACATTCAAAAGATATGCGTATGTTGCGTTGGATGTGTGGACATATCAGAAAAGACCGCTTGAGGAATGAGATAATCATAAAAAGGTGGGAGTAGCACCTATAGAAGATAAAATGCAAGAGTCTCGTTTGCGGTGATTTGGGTATGTGCGTAGAAGAACGAGTGATTCACCTCTTAGATGACTTGAGGGGTGGGAAGAAGAGACAAAGAGAAGAGGGAGGGGAAGACCCAAACAGACTTGGATTAGAGGAATCGGAACTGATATGCGTCTTCTTGGGTTGGATGAGAGTATGGCTTTGGAGGGAGAAAAGTGGAGGGCGCACATTCGTGTGGATAATTGATCTCTTTTCTATCTTTCCTCTCTCTTTTTCTTTTATCGTTTATCTTCTTTATCTTTTTATGTTCTTATGTTTTCTTGTATCTTCTAGCTTTTTATGCTCTTTTATCTTTTTATCTTATCTTTCTTATATTCTTATGTTTTTGTTATCTTATATTTATTTATCTTTATCTTATCCGTTTTATCTTTTTCTTCTTCTTCTTGTTTGTCTTCTCTTTTTGGCATCAATATCATGGATCGATTCATGTTAGTCGACCCCAAAATCTTTTGGGATTAAGGCTTGGATGTTGTTGTTGTATTAGTACACACCAATCAATATGCTAAAGTGCCGCCCCAGAAAGGGATAAACCAAACCTTAGAAGGGAAGATTAAACATGGCATCAGATAGGTAGGCCTCTTTATGTATGCATGCATGATGCATATGCATTGTGCACAACACATAAAGATTTGCTGGAGCAATAAATGAATAAAAGAATTATTTATTAATGTATTTATTTATTTATTACCTGGGGCATATCTATTGAATATTTAATATCATTAAAAGCAATGGAATGCGGCTGAAATGAAAGGGCCATCCCACATTTGATGTAGTTGAGGCCTGAAAACATTGGGTTACTTTTCGCGGCTCGTCCACATCCTCTGTCACCAACTATCCAAAGAAAATATGTTTTAGTTTAAAAGAAAAAAAGATTTAGACGTTGGACAGTTTCATCGATTGATACATAATGCGTAGTAATAATGTGTATTCCAATCCTGCCCGACTGGACTGCTTACCTTCAGATTCTGGTGACATAATAATGGTCTTAGATTGCGCAAGTGCTGAAAAGTGTGATCCCCAGAATATTAGTATTAGTAGTGTTAATTAACTCAAAGTATTATAGTATTATTTTTTTATGTAGATAATTTGTACGTACGTTTTAGTGTAGCCAGAGCAAGAGTGTACAGGAAGTTTGACATAATTGTGTATCCAATCAGTGCCCCTACCCCAATCCAGTACCAATATGCCTTTGGGGAAAGCCCACGATACTTGAGTACCAAAACACCAAGTGATGATTCTGATGAAAACGGAAGGACCTATCATACCATATATACACATATATAAATGTTAAATGTCAGCTAGTCTTAGTGTTTGTTATTAGTCTTCAAGAAGAAGAAGAAGAAGAAGAAGAAGAAATTATTGCATACTAGGTAGGCCCTCGCAAAAAAAAAGGCGGGGAAAAAGTGTGTTTGGAGAAAGTTTACTAGGAAAGGAAGATGATGAAATCAATCAATAAACATCATTGACTGTAATTAAACCCTGTTCACAGGTACTACATAAAAAATGGCTGGCTTCTTTTTCTCACTTCAAATAAATTAACTAAAGAAAATAATTTAAGCATAACAAGTACATATGTATAACATGAAAAATATCAGCCATCCATCTTAGCCATTCCAACTAAAAAAGTAACTCTCATGCTGCTTTTTTTCATTACTGTTCAATGAGAAATAAGTGTACCAAATAAACAAAGATCTTTTGCACGCTAGATTGGAGGAGAAATTGCAATACTCCATCTACTCTAGATGAAACCGTTTCTAAAAGTAAGCATTTGAATAGCAGAAATGCTTACATTTCTCCAACTTTTTCCAAGGAACTCATTTACTGCTATAGCATTTTGACCATACATCAGAGGTGATATCCAATAACCCCAAAGCCACCATTTCTTCACATCCTCTGAAATAATAATAAAACAACTAGTACAACAACATCCAAGCCTTACTCCCAAAAGAGTTTGGGGTCGGCTAACAGCTAGTACGCAAAATAAAAAAGGCTGAGTAAATAAACACACAATCATAATAATAACAATACCTCGTGACAAGATGAAACCACCTAAGCAAACAAAAATAAGCATTACGAATGAACCCGCAACAAATGCTATGATCAAAGTCCTACTTACAACCGCAGCACATCTAAACAATGCAGATGAAAATTGTTTGAAAATTAGGAGCAAAAGCCATTGTTTCAATAACCTGCATTCAAAGAGGCGAATGGTTAATGTGTTGAGCTTGACAATTAGTGGGAAAAAATTGGTTGGTTGATTATGTGGTTGCCCACCTTCCAGCATTTGGATCATAACCAATGGCATAGTATGTAGAGAACACCCATATAGAAACTTCCATAAATGATATGGGGATTCCAAGGATCCATGTGGGTATTGCATAAGCCCACGCAGGATAAAACAAATGGTCTCTTTGCTTATAGAAAACAGGAAGCCGCAAAATAGTTGGGGCTAACTCTTGTATGGAACTGAACAGGAAGACAGAAAGGGTAAAAAAGAGCGAGCCCATGTACATTTGTGCACTGAAGATTGACTTTCGGTCAAGATGGATCCTCATAAACACTGTTAATGTAACCACTGCCAAAATGACTGCCTGAAAGTTTTTTTATAAATAAAAACGGTTTAAACGCCGAAGTTCCAAAGGAGATAGGGGTGTGGCTTGAAAAACATACATGGGTAAACCAGCGTCCATACCGAAGCAATTCCAAAAACATAGAGAGTACAATTTCGCTTCATCAGCAGAACCTCTCTGGAGAAACATGACTTGATTAGCTCCACTTTACCAACTCCATATGCTTTGGTAGTTAAGGCATCAGGATGACTTCTAGCCTTTTGAAAAGGGGTACCAAGCACATCACTTAAGTCACGGCCAATGTGAAAAGCTTGAAATGCTTCAGAAATTTCCTTGACTGTCACGAATCTGTATGGCCTTTCCTTATGCACCCAATACTGCGGTTGATCTTTCCTTGATGTTACCTGAAATCAAAGAGAATTCCTCACCGTTCATTTCTCAATTATTGTTATTGAAATATTGACTCTGCCAACAAGTATTTCTCCTCGGGTGTTTGTTATTGTTGAGTACTTGAGTATCCCACATTACTTGTCTGTTGGGTTTGCATCCAGACTATAGTATATAAATGTGAGGTATACATCACTTCTTAAGGGTTCTTTTAGAGTGGGTTAGAACAAATTTAATAGTTAAGATGGAAAGGATTTACTTTTTACGGAGAGAAAATTTTAATAGTTCTGCTTGAGAGTATTTAGATTCCAGGGAAGAGTAAATCGTGTTGCACCCATTCATTAACAAATATCTATTGAGTTTGTTAGTGTGAAATGTGGTCCAAGTCGGGTTAAACTTCGCTTTAGATGTAAAGTGGGTGAGGACTGGAGAGTGCGGAAGACGGTGCCCATGGAAAGTGAGCCAAATTCCAGTGAAAGCGCCACACGCTTCCTTACCTCTTGCAAGAAGTCAGCCACTCCTTTCCTTTCCGGGCACCTGAACCCCATGAATTCAAAAAATTCAAGCACATAGTCACGAGGGCCCTGATAAACGACCTGGCCTTCAGATATTAGAATAATATCATCAAACAGATCAAAGCACTCTGGTGCGGGCTGAAGAAGTGAAATTGCTGCAGTTCCACGGAGAATGTGTACATAATGTTTAATGGATTTCAGGATTTGGAAAGTCGTTGAACTGTCCAAACCGCTTGATATATTATCCATCAAGAAAACATTTGCTGGTCCCACAAGCATTTCACCTAATGATGCAATTAGGCTTCTCAGAGTATTTTCCAGTCATTAATAAAAGCATTTCTAAATTAAGAAAAGAAAAGATATATTGTACCTATTGTAAGTCGCTTCCGTTCTCCTCCTGACATACCCCTTAACATTTCATTCCCTACAATTGTATCCTCACAGACTTCAAGTCCCAAAATCTAAGATCCCAAATAGCAGATGATAATTAGAAGAAAAATTATAGGTATGCTTTCCAATTAACAAAAGGTAATTATAGTTGATACCTTGATGATGTAATCTACAATCACATTTGCTTCCACCCCGTTTGAGGCAGCAGCCTGAAGAAGCATATGCGCCAATGGGTTTAGTTACTAAAGGAACCATTTTCACTAGTTTGAGTACAAAAATATCAAATGTGTAACCCTTATGGTGTGTGTGTGTGCGCGCGCGCGCATGCATGCTTGAGCCCATTAGTGTACGTACTATAAGTACATATGAAGGAAAGTGATTTCATTTCAGTACATAATTGAAAAACTCTTTATTTGGAACAAAACAATAACTAAAGAGAAACAGAAGTCATAGAAAAAGTAACTTTCATTACCACCTTCATAAAAACATCTATATCCTGATCAGGCATAATATTTGCAGCTTTTTCTCTCCTAGATAACTCTGCTAACATTTCTGTAACGAATAAATATAGAGCACCACAGATACGTATTGGGAACATTAGGGAATACCGTCAGACTTTAACCAAAAAAACACAGACAAATCAAGAAAGCAATATAAAACAGCAACACATGATAACCATATCTGGAACCGACGCCTTGGCATCTCGCAGAGAAGGCCAGGGTTTCTCGGGCAGTCATTTCTGGAATATGGAGGTCATCCTGGCTGATGTAAGCAGCAGTTCTCATGGCTACAAATTCATTCATTTCATGGCCATTGTATGAAACTCTTCCAGAGAACTAGGAATTAAAAAGTGAGTATTAATAATTAGTTCAAATTCAAGAAACCTAGTAATCATGAAACTCTGGGAACAAAAAAAGAAAATTGTTGACTTTACTTCCAAACTAGGGTCAAGCTTCCCTGCCAATGCCAGCAGAAGAGTGGTTTTCCCGGAACATGGAGGCCCTAAGAGCAAAGTCATTCTGAAAGGGGCCCAAGAAGCAAAATAGAGATTACTTAATCGTACAACTTAAAGAAACAGAGACGTAACCAAGAAAACACAAGATGACGATTAAATTCAGCGTGCAGGACTACCTGCCAGGCTTTATGATTCCACTAACATCATGAAGAATAGAAATGTACTCTTTTTTTCTGGGAAGATTGAGGTAGCTCAAGAGCCCCTGTGTTCAGAAAAATAGAAAAGTTAAACTGCAAAAAACAAGTACAAGACCAAGATTATCTGCATCAGTTACCTCCAGCGTCTTTAATAAGGAGAAGCTAGTGTTAGAAGGGAAAGCTCTTTTTCCTACATAAGCTTCAGCACCCACTTTCAAATGCTCAAATCTGACCTCAACTGTGGGAATATCAATCGCTACCCTGGTAAATTAAAATCATAAAAATTATTTATGGGTCATCGAGCTCTAAGGGTCCTCTGTTTGGAACCATGATAGTGCTAGCTAGGGAAAGAAACCCCGGAAAATAGAGGGAAAATTAAAAGGAAAAGGGAAAAATTGAGGAAAAAGATAAAAAATGATTCATACTCAGTAGACCAGTTTAAGATATTTGCTCAAACTCATTCTGTATATGTATACAAAAAATACAAAAAATAAGGAGAGTTCTAGACCAATGGCGGATCCAGGATAAAATTTAATTGGGGGAAGAAAAATTAGAAAATACAATAGAAAAAAAATCATCCGTTCTTTTTTTCTTTTCCCTGGGGGCGTCTGGGGGAGGGAGGTTGGGGGGTCTGGAGTAATCAGGGCTGAAACTCACTCCATTGAATTTCGAACCCGAGACCTCCCGTAAGCGAGAGTAAGTCGGCGGCCAGCTGGACTGGACGCTACCTCAATCTTCCATCCTATTTTATATGACTTGTTCTGGTTTAGCATAATTATTAATGAAGTGATTGAAAAAGAAAAAAATTATTAATTATCAATAGGGAAAACGTAACCTTAACATTGATTGACCAAAAATATTGAATTTGCAAAACTATTTGGGACAGATGTAGTATACATTTAGAATTTTTAATTACTAAATGACATTTTCTATTTTCTTACAATTAGATAAATCAATAATACTATAATGAATTAATTAATAACATAATAATAAGTTTAATAAGATGACTTAATATTTATGTTTACATAAAAATAAAATCTCTACCCAAGACTAAACAAAACCAAGCAAGTTCATGGGCCATTCAATTTGATAAAGAAAATTAAAACTAAATTGAATAGCAGAACAAATGTGTGGCTAACGTGGTGAGTCTTGGCCTTCGTATCCTGTTGCAGAGCTTGACTACTTCTCCACTCATAGGAGTCATGCATGAAGGCTAACAATTGAAGGATTTTCTCTAAATTTCTCTAATTTCTATTAAGCCGTCATCATCAATCATCAAACGGGTTTAGCCGTTTGGGTGATTCTATGATCCTGAAATCCGATTTCCAGATTTTCACAACTTGGACTGGGACGGTCGCGGGTCCTAGGTTATAGGGGGCAACAAATTTTTTCTATTGGGGGCAATTTCTTGGATTCCTAATATTTATTAAGAAATATAGGAGTTTAGTGAGCCTTTATTGGGGGCAGCTGCCCCCCTACTGCCTGTGTAGATCCGCCCCTGTTCTAAACAAATTAAAAGGTCGGAACATATACACCTACTATGTAATGAAATTAAGTTCTAAAAAAACTCCGGCCAAACATAAAAAACAATACTCTGGGTCCCAAAAAAAACCTAAAAAAATAATGACACAATCTTTCACGTAATGAAGGGAGGGATGCCATGCCTCTCAAACCGATCCTTGAGTTTCAGCAAGAACTGCTCATTATCTCTTCCTGGAACTTTTAATAACCTCTCAAGGATTTTTTTCTTGTCTTCATATCCAATGTTCTTTATATCAATTTCACAAGTCTCGCCTCTTAACCCAGTCACTAATCCCTTCTTTAGGCGATCAAAGGTGGGAACTTTCTGGAGCGCAGCCCACTTTAATGCTCTCTCTTCATCTTCCTGCCGTCCACTGGCTCTCCCTAAGGATGAACTATTGATTCTTAAGCTTCCACTTCTCTTATGAGAATCATTAATTTCCATTTGAACTTAAGGGAAGAATGTGACAAAAACTGCAGCTACCTTAGATTCGGTGCAAGTACAAAACAAGGATTTAGAGCTTTATAGAAGCTAAGTAGGGTCGACACTTGACAAAAGGAATTCATTCCTTTTATAAATCTCACCGACTGAACTCCTAGCATTTGCAGACCCTGTTATCCATATTGCAATATGCTTAGTTTACATTAGTTGGCAGTTATTAGGTGCATTCATTGCATGGCCAGTGTCAGGATTATCATCCGCAAGCATTGAGGCGGAATGAAAACATTTCCCTCTCTTTCCCTAATTTCAGCCCCAGCGAATAGCAGATTTCCTAGTCTCGCACCAGCCGTTCCTGCTCGTGGCTCGCTGCCTCCTAGATCCTAGCTGAGGAAACTCAAGCGGCCACCGCCATATTTTCTGATTTTCTACTTTTTTTTGTTCTCCTATTTTCTGTTTTTATTTTTCAGTTTTTCTATCTCCAATTTCTGTTTCTATTTTTTAGTTTTCCATTTTCAAATCTGAAAATATGTTCATCAATTTTTTCACTCAGTTCTCCAATTCCACACCCTTGACCCTTACCCCTACCCTTATCACGATTTTACACTCTACTCATACTCCCTCACAACCCTTCATACCCACCCATACCTACTCGTAGTTGTCGGGGGTAGCGGGTGGGGGTGGGGTAAGGGGTATGGTCGGGGTTGGGGTTGGGGTAAGGTAGGGGTAGGGTAGGGTAGGAAGTTGGGATATGATTGCGGTAGGGTGGGCCAAGGATCCGGGTGGGGCAGAGGTAGGGGATGGGTAGGGTGGGGGGGTAGGACGGCGGAAGGGTGGGGGTAGGATGGCGGTACGAGGGTGGGGGTAGGACGACGAAAGGGTGGGGGTATGATGGCGGTACGAGGGTGGGGGTAGGATGGCGGTGGGGTGGGGCCGAGGTAGGGGGAATGTGGTAAGAGGTAAGGTAGGGGTGGGGGGTAGGGTAAGGTGGGTCGGGGTGGGGTCGAGGTGGTAGGGGGGTGGCGGTTAGGGTAGGGTGGATCGAGGTGGGGTCGAGGTAGGGGCATGTGGTAGGGGGTGGGGTAGGGTCATTATAGGGAAAATGGGGTATGCGGGGTGGGGGTTGGGTGGGTAAGGTAGGGTAGGGGTAAGGGGTAAGGTACGAGGATGAATGTACCGGAATGGAATCGACATCGGAGCGGGACTGGACCCACCACTAGGTGTAAGTATGCAAATTTATTGCAGCGACACTGTAGCATCTGCGTTTTTCAAATTTGGAAAACTAGTAAAAGTCACTTCTCCAAATCATTAAGGAAAAGAGAGACATGTCTCATTTTTTTCGTTTTGGAAAACGATTTGGTAAACGTGTTTTTCTTTTTTCCTTTCTCTAGTTTTCCAGGAATTTCTTTGGTAAACACGTTTTCTGTTTTCTGTTTTCCAGTTTTCCAGTTTTCTGAAAAACTGGAAAATATCTCTGTTAGTAAACAGGTCCGTAGTGTTTTGAGTAATCTACGGAGTACGGAGTAATCTACTGGTCATAGGAGGTTTGGCCGTCCATATTTGAGTAATCTACCAAATTTCACCTAACAATTCGATCCGGAAGAAATTCAAATGAATTCTTGAAGATAACTGCGCAATTATCTTCAAGAATTCATTTGAATGCCTTCCCGATGGAAGTTTTAGCTGAAATGTGGTATGCGTAAACTAGTCTTAATGAATACGATGCTAAAAAAAATCATCAAGAAATTCAACCGGGAACCGCCCCAAATGGCGACGGCCGGACAGAGCCTCCTATATAAGGGCTTATTTGACCTTTTATGTAAGTTTGAGGGTCTATCTGACCCTTTTCTCTTTCTAAATGTATTTACTAACCAAAGTTTACATACTCCATGTGGTGTTCTTGCTAATCTTTTCATGTAGCAATTTCTTTGAACGACTTTTCATATAGCCATTGATCGAAACATTTTTAAATACTTCATCTCTAATAATTTCCAATAAAATATTGTGAGTGATGATGAGTGTTATCTCACAATAGGGATTTAGTGCAACTGTATAAGTATTGTATCCACAAGGACGAAAAAAGAGAATCAGGAATTAACTAAATTTAACGATTAAAAAAATGCAATTGTGCGAGATTTGAATTTTAGAAAATTAAAATGCGAAAAAACGATTAAAATAAATAGATCCTTTCTAATTAATGATGACAGGGGACATGGATCGATTCTGGGATATCAGATTTCTGGCTGATCAGGCCTAATCAATGAAAATTAATTAATTGAGCAACGATAATCAATACTAAGTTATTACCGCTCTCGCGGCGTAAAGTACAATAATTTAGAGAACTAGACTAATCTCTCATGCGACAAGATTCTAAATTATTATCAAAATGAGCAAGTGTATGGTTCCTTAACCGTTACTTATCTCTTAAAGAACGATTAAGTGTCTGTGAAAGTATCCTATTGTTAGAACTATTTATTGTGAATCAAGTTTGTCTGTAATGTCTTGTTTAAATAAATTAGAATAGATGTACCATTTATGGTATTAGTATTATTATGTAATAATTGGTAGTAAGGGAATATGGCCCAAAAAGGCTTAGACCAAAACTCCCATGTATACCTAATTCGGTAACCTGTACAGCGCCTATAAATATGCGCGTCCTGTACAGGTACTGGAGACGATTAATAGTTTCCTTAGCCTTACGCTGTCAAAATACTTCTCGATATAATAGAAAGGGGATTTCTCTGTTCTCAATAATTTTCATATCATTCTGTGAAATCTCTCTTCTCTATTTATCGATGAGATCCATCTAGCTATTGTTAGTCTGCATAAGCTGGGACCATCAACTGGTATCAGAGCCTGCTTGAGTGTGATCGTCGAAGAAGAAATTTTCAAAGTTCTCTGTTTTTCATACTTTTCGATATTTCTCTGTTTTAATCACTGTAATATGGTTTCTGATCGATAAAATGTAAAAGTTATACCATTGGATTCGCCTCTCAAAAACGAACCAAGGGTATATCTTACTTTTCGATTTCAGAAAACTTGATATTTTTGATTTCTCGATAGTATGATGTCGAAAAGCAGGGTTCTCGACATCTAAGCAGGGTTTACGAACTGAAAACCTCACAGGAAGGATCTCGAGATTAAGAACTTTGGTGAAAAGTTGTTTAATTTGCATAAAACTGAATTTTTTATTTGCAGGATTTCGATACTACGTTCTCGATACTAGTTCTCGAACTGAATTCTCGAGTTTCACTTCTCGATACTCAGTTCTCGATATTTAGTTCTCGATATCATGTTTTTCGAATTTGCAGGTTCTCGATACAGCTTCTCGATATTCAGTTTTTGAAACTAAGTTCTCAAACTTAGGTTCTCGATACTGAAGTTCTCGATAGCCACTTCTCGAACCTGCTTCTCGATAGCAGGGTTCTCGATATCTAATATCGAAAACTGCTTCTCGATAAAGCTTCTCGAACTCTACTTCTCGAACTATTTCCTGAATTAGGTTTTCGATATTCTGCACTTTAAATTTCTTTCTCTAATCAAAAAACACTCGAACGGTCTTTTAAAGTCAAAACAGCAAAGATGGAAGCCTTAGCACTTGGTAATGACAACAGACCTCCAACTCTGATAAAAGGAGGGTATCAGATGTGGAAGACAAGATTCCTAAATTTTCTGGAAGGCAAAGACAATTCTTCTGCTATGTTGGAATCACTCACCCAAGGACCAGCTGAAATCTGGACTGATGTGACTGGAGAAAATGGTAACAATCCTTCAGTTAATCAAGAAAGAAGATTAAAAATGAAGTCTGAGTACACTGAGGAAGACAAACTGAGAATCAAAGCATATTTGATGGCTAAGACGTACCTGCTCCAAGCTATTCCAAATGATATTTACATTCTGATTGATATTGAGGAGGAGGAGTGTAAGGAGGGTATGACGTATATGGTGAATATTCCATGGAGGTTTGAGGGTAAGGAATTCCGCCAGGAATTTGGCTGAATGGGTTCATCTCATCCTCTTAAGAACAAGTACCTGAAAGGTTAGCACACAAAAATCCTACGAAGAACTAAAAAAAAAACTAACTAAAAAAAATCTCGCTAAAATTAATTAACCCTCAAAACCGACACCGTCCCCGGCAACACTGGGTTTACTTCTTATGTGGCTTCAGAAGTCTTGTCTTCTAGATTGGTTCCCTTCAGGGTTTCTGTTACTTCTTCAACAGAAGTGCTATCATCAAATTTGACATGAATGGATTCTGCAACTTGTAGTGTTCTTCTGTTGAGTACTCTATAGGCTTTGCTTGTGCTTGAGTAGCCTAAAAACACACCTTCATCAGTTTTCTCCTGAAAGACCTTTAGATGCTCCTTTCCATTGTTGAGGATGTAACATTTACATCCAAAAATGTGAAAGTAGCTGATGTTGGGTTTTCTTCCTTTCCAAAGTTCATAAGGAGTCTTCTGATGATTTTTGTGGATCATGCTTCTGTTCTGGGTATAGCATGCGGTGTTGATTGCTTCAGCCCAGTATCTGATGGGTAACCCTGATTCAGCAATCATGGTCCTTGCAGCTTCCTTCAATGTTCTGTTCCTTCTTTCTGCAACACCATTTTGTTGAGGTGTTCTGGCAGCAGAAAGTTGGTGAAGGGTGCCATTCTGATCACAGAAGTCCTTGATCACTTTGTTGACAAATTCAGTTCCTCTGTCAGATCTGATTGTCCTGACCTTCATGTTCTTCTCAGTCTGAAGTTGCTTTAACAGAGATGGCAACTTCTGAAGAGTTTCATTCTTCTTTGCTAAGAACACAGTCAATGTGTATCTTGAATAGTCATCAACCATGACGAGTGTATATTTCTTTCCACCAACACTGGGAGTTTCAACTGGTCCAAATAAATCCATGTGAATCAGATTTAAAGGACTAGTGGAAAGATCTCCAGCAATGGGCTTGAATGAGGTCTTCACTTGCTTGCCCTTCTGACAAGCACTGCAGAGGGTTTCCTTCTTGTATACAATATCTGGTAGACCATCTACAATGTGTTCTCTTGCCAGTTTGTTGATTGTTTTGAAATTCAGGTGGCTAAGCTTCTTGTGCCAATCCCAGCTTAGCTTTGAATCTCCTTTGGCTATCAGGCATACTCCATCTTTTGCAGTTTCCCAATCAACAACATAGATGTTCTTCTTTCTTTTTGATGTAAGAACCACTTCTTTTGTTATCTCATGCTTGACATAGCATAAAGTCTTTGTGAATTCAACTGTGTAGCCTTTGTCACAGAACTGGCTAGCACTCAGCAAGTTGAACTTCAGACCTTTGACATAAGAGACATCATCAATGATTATCTGGTTCTTGATCAGCTTCCCTTTTCCTTTTGTTTGACCTTCCTTGTCAT